GTGTTAGCTCCAATAAGGCAACAGTGAGGTTGTAAATATGCATGTTTCTTATCATGTTGAAGCTCTATCTGTAACGGATATATGACCTATTAAGTAGGTCCGGAATAGGCGTAGTATCCATTCGTCAATCACTTCCGAAATAAGGTGCCCGGCTTCAATTCGGCCGCGCGAGTAGTCTACTACGTTCTCGCCAAATTCAACAACAGTACCCACTCTCATTTCACCCTCTGAAGCCCTCCCCCCCCCCAATCATGAACCTCCGTTCTTTTTTCAACGTGGAATCACTAACGCAGATCGAGCCACGGTTTCCACCGGATGCACTATAATATTTTTTTATGAAAAAAAAAAACTGGAATCTTTTACAAATTACATGCTACAAGAGTGCCTCAAGAATCGTAAACACATCATGCCCGCACGGGATGATAAATCTTAGGCCTATTCTGCTGTAGGGTTTGTCTAAAAAGGGATGAGGTCTACCTACCCAGACCATCTAAGTTGAGTACCTTCCTTCTTCTGGGACATTTGGCCCACAAAGGGAGGGCCATGCCTGGCGGGGGGCCCGAATGGGTTGCAACTAGTGGAGTATGATAATATCATAAGTTTCAAAGAAGGCTTCTTCTGGGACACGCCCTCATCAATGATTGGTAGTACTGCAGGTTTGGACTGAGGCTCCAACCCCGGGATAAGGTCAACGTAGGGCTATGGCAGGGAGAAAAGTCCGATACAAGTTAAGGTAAAGGGGTAACCCGGGGCCACGGGGACAGAGTATAGAATTATAGAGAAGAAGAAAATCACTTTGTGGTATCATAGGTGTTTATATTATAAAGATATTCTGCATCCTATTTTCCGCACAGCTCCACCCATTCTCGATTTATCAGATCACCAGATTTGTGGAAGTAAAGCCATGAAACCCATTCTCCTAAGCCCTCTAAAAGTCCGCTTCTAAACTCTGGTCTACTTTTCCTCGCTTTATTTATCATGTCATACAAAAACACTCCTATCGGAGTGAGGTGGTTACAAGCCACTTTTTGCAAATTCACTTCAACCATTGTTGCCTAACCACGACTTTTACTAGTACAGCACAGTACAGTATCACAGCCAACCAAAATTTCCAAACCTGTCACCATAAACAGATCCCAAGGCAAGGCTCCGTTGGCTTCGACGGTGGGCCATACAAACCCTAAAATTCTTCCCTTCTTCCTCGCAGTGTCCAGGCGCTTCTGCGAGTATCCTGCACATCGTATTTGGCCTCTACTTTACTCCGCAAGGGCGGCGGATGGAGATATATGATAAGGATTTTCCACCTCCTTCACTGAGAGCAAAAAAAAAAAAAAACCCAGAATACCCGCTTCCCACCCAGTTTCAACCCCTTCAAAGCAATGGAGGGATATTATCAAAGGGTTCTCGTAACTAGCAGCTAAAGGGCCGATCACCACTATTGTCTAGAGGGAAGGTTTGGAGTTTGATTCCGCGCCCGGGGTGTGTGTAGCTGACAATAATGATAAAACAGTCAGCCCTGGAAAAAAAAAACCCCTCCTTTTTGCCGCCAAGTTGATCAAGCCTTCCACCCTGACATATGCGCGTCCGAAATCTATAGCGGGGGAAGGAGAGATCAGGAATTATAATCTAAGTATCGTAATAAGAGACAGAAATGAATGCTATATCATAACCCACGCGCTCTTCGGACCGTGATAGCCCCTCCCTATACCATTGTTATGCTATGATATATACGGAAGTGCAGTTGGATGTTTTCGGGAAATAACTTAAGTGTTTGTATCTTAAATAGTGCTAGGCGCTACCGGGTCCCAAACTTGAATCCGATATCTACGTAACTTAATCGGTGGGGGAAAGGGGGAAAAAAAAAGTTAGACTAGATATCATACACCAACGGCGGGACGCAGTACAGAATCTCAGTATGACGTTTTCATCTTTTCGGGGGCGGGGTTGCCCAAGGATCTTGTAAGGATGTGGACGAGAGGGAAAGAGCTTGTATATAAACTGGAGGACTCCCGATTATCCAGTTGTGGATATCCAAGGGGTATATGTGTGGCTCTTGCCCTTCCCAGAGGTATTACAATAATGGTAAGTATGGTAACTTGTAACCTGCTCTTTTTTACATGCTGCCGGTATTTGAAGACTGGTGATTTCAGGCAATGACTGGAGTTACACTCCCCCCCATTCCTTGCTAAAATCGTCCCTACATCTCGAGTATCAGCGTATACAGATTCCCAACTACGGTTCAAAACATCGTAGCTATAGCACCCATAGATAGAAAATCCAGCGGGAAGCTCCCGGTATGTTTACTTTTTATCATCTCAAACAGGTGTTTCGAATTAGCACCACCACCGCGGTGTTGCCCCCCCCCCCCAAAATTAGGCTCGAGTGATGGGATGTGAAATTTAGTTTCACTTGCGATGGGACTTGCGAGCTACGGAATATAGCCTACTCCTATGATATTCACTTTATCATACCAACATTAGGATTTTAATTATACCGGTAACGTACCGTAGCACCATTGAAGCAGTATACTATACCTTGCACTCAGTTTCTGCTGAATATACTCAATATACGCCCCAAGTTACAGCATTCCGAGAGCGCTGACACCCCAAATTGGGGGAGATTTCTATCTATCTACTTTGGAGGTGACCTTAGGCAAGGGCAAGAAGCCAGCGTGCCCAATAAGCTACGATTACCACTTACAATTGACCCTACACCCAATTGTGAAACATATCTGCCATCGTAAGGCTGGCATGTTTTCAGGTTCCCTTCTCGTAATACCCAAGGAATGGGAAAGGTGCTGGCAAGGCCGGAAGCAGTGCTTAGTTCCCGAGACTCGCACGGCACTCGACAAGTGCCTGCAGCCTACTACGGTACTGGAGTAGTACGATACCGGTACGGCGGAAGAGAATCGGAAAACAGGGGTTAGAAACACGGGCATCGATTGGCTCGAGCCACACAAGACCTTCCAATCAGCGCCCCGAAACACCGTGTCTCGCCTTCCGATCTTGTTTTACCAGAGGCTGTGCCATACCTGCCCACCCCCACGGTGAGATCTCAGAACTTCCCCAGCCAGGAGCCATAAACCAGGAAATTCGACCAACACCGCAATATGATAAATGGAACGTCCATATTAAATGTCGATAAAAAAAATTAGGGAGGGCACCATCCTTACGGAGACCGTCCCGGTCCCCCCCTCCCCCCTGCACCCGACTCTGACCGGTGCCAAAGCAAAAATCCAAAAACCCGCAATGTTGCGAACAGCCCACCCGATGTAAAACACCAGCCGATCACGCAAGCGAAGTTCGCGCTATCCGGCAGCAACCGTGAGGAAACTCAGGATTATCGGCTTCTCGCACCGCGGCCCCACCGCACAGATTAGGATCGCCGAATCGCTTACAGCGATCAGCAACGGCGACGCGGGAATCGATATGGTGATAACGGTCGGAAAAGCGCTAGGCAGGGAACGCAAATGCGCCGTCGACGATATCTCCATGATTGACAAGACCGCTGTCGTCGCCGGGGGTGATACTCAGGGCGGTTTTCCGGAACGCCTGCTGTATTTGAAGGTGGAGCTCATTGGTAAGCTTTGCGGGAAATGCACGAATATTGGGGTCGCGTTCGTGAATACCCCCCCCCCCCAAGTATGGCTCACGAAGAATGAGGGCAGGGCGTATGGATATGAGGGAGCGACATTGAGGGATTTGAGGACCATGGGGGAGAGCTGCCGTAAAGACGTGTAAACCAAGGCTGCCAACGGGTTCAGGTGTTTGATTGACTTGTCGCGAGTGAGGGTGTTGGGGGTCAGTCGGGCGCGGACTGTTGTCGTGATTCTTGAAGAAGCAAGGAGGGGATTGGCGAGGAGGTTAATGAAGTGGAAGTTCAGCCTGTGCCGGAAAAGAGGGTGAAGGGGCCCTGCAGCTGGGAATATTAAGCTATGGTGAACTGTTTCGCATGCTGGCCGCCACCAGAGGGATTATCATGACATGAGAGTTGTTTGGCTGCTGAAAGCTTAGTCCAGCTATTCTCATTCGTTCTGTCATGCATACTCCCTCTCTCTCCCTCTCACGTCCATCCGGAGCTACAGACATGGCAGGTGCAATACGTCAGTTTCCTGACTTGATGCGAAAAGATATTCCAGAAGAGCTCGCTGCTCACTTTCCTCACTGTCGTGTATCATCATAATCATCGTCATAATCATCATCTGTAAAGCAATAACCTTCTAAAGTTCCTACGGTTGCATAGCAGAAGAAGAAAAAATAATAACACCCGCCAAGTGTACCGACACACATCCGTATTTGACCCTTCCTTCCTGTCTCCCCACGCCCTCTGATCACTCTTCTCCCCTCATAATATCCATACCATCAATCTAGCTGACACCTGATCAACATCACTCCACGTTTCATTTCCATCCCATCCCATCCGCACACAACCCTCCCGTTATTTCCTTGTTTCGAGCCCCGCTATACCGTAGCGTAACGACCATGACGGGAATTCAATAACCGGGAGACAGCCGCCGGCGACGTATCTCTTGCAATAAGATCCGCTCCGTCCCTACCCGACGACCGCGGTTGGGGGGGGGGGGGGGGTAAGAGAGTAAAGAGGGCAAAGCGAAAGAAAGAGGCGGTGAAAAAGAAATATTATACCCCGAGCAGCATATTGGCTACATGCGCTGCGCTATCTCCTACCGTAGCCTATGATACGGTAGATGGATTGGTTCTCAAAGCGCATGCGGGCGTGCGGTCAAGCAGAGCAAAGTACCGATACCCTCCACCTCTCGACAAGCACAGGTACTACAGGTAGTACAGTACAGTGCATGGCAGCAGAAAAGGCGAGATAATCCCATACCATAGCACAGCCAGTCTCCAAGGCTACCGGTACTGGTACGGTACAACTTGAAGTACCATTGCGACCCCAAAGTCTGGTCCCTCCAACCAACCAATAGAACGCAGTCATCTGTTCTCGTGCGTCCACATCCATCCTTCCCTTGAGTCCCCCCCCTTCCCCCACCATAGGGTAGAGTAACAACCTAACTTATTACTTCATCACACCGGGGCCCCATTTCTCGGGCAGCCAGAATAGCCAAACACTTACCGGTCCAAAATACCTCAGCCATTCAGAACAGTCAGGAAAAAAGGGTGGGTGCAGCTGAGCTTTTTTAATGCGGAATGGGAATCAAACGAAGCGAGCAGCTGCAACGCGATCGAGTAGATCGAGGGTTCTGCTTGCGAAATGGCTGTGAGGATGGTAGTGCCAGTATGGACCGAATAAAAGTTAATCGTGTGTTGGAGGGAGGGAGGGAGGCTTAGTTTATTCCACCCCGCATCGGGTGCCATCCCCTACAGTAGCTATACCGGATTCCACGGCTGGCTTTGTCTGTCTACTAACGCTTCGGTATCCTGCGTACAGTACCGTATCCGTACCGCAAGTCGAATCTGGCACTGTAGGAACCCCAATACCAGCAGATAAATAAATACCCGTAAACACCACCACCGCCCACCCGTCCACCTAACATCAGCCAGCTAGCCAGACAATCGCCAAACCACCGAGCCGTTTCACTCGGATTCCTCGAGATTCAGGTCTTTGAGCGGTGGTTCCCTGCCATACTGCCCCCTGGCTTCCCCTACTTTAGCACTAAAGTGACTATTGAACACTTCAAACTCCAAACAAAGCCTCTACCCCCCTACCGCCCACCCGTGCACCAAAACACACTCTAGCCCAACCAAGATAAACCGAAAACGAGATGCTCACCTCCCTCCTGACCCGCAATCCCTTCCGCCCCCGCTCCTCCACCACCTCAAACTCAAGCACGAACTCCGATGCCGCCGATCCAGGCTTCGACTCATTCATCGCGACCCTGCGCGCGCGCCGGTCCAGCGATGAGTGGGGAAAGGAGGGACCCGAGGGGGATTTATATAGGCTACGATGCCTCGCCGAGGAAATGACATTGCTCAGCGAGAGGAATTATGGATGCGGGGGCGGGAGAAGAAAGGTTCGTCCATCATTATTTTCCATTCCATTTCCAATCCCTTCCTTTTTACTGCCCGCCGATCCCCTTTCACTGGGGATGGGAGCGTGGTCGGTCCGATGAGCTCGCGACATTAATTCGGAAGTTTAGGATGATGATAACCGACGGGGAAATTATGCTTAGGGGATGGTTTTAATCGGGTATGTTGCTTGTGGTGGTGGTGGCGGTGAGTCTTGTCCGCGTCCTGTTTGTTCCGTTTTGGGTCATTCGATCGTGGGAGATGCTAATTGTTTCGCGATCGTAGTTTGGCGACCGACCGATCGTGCGGGCCGGGCCGTTACTGATTGTAGAAATACTTGCGGGGTTTCCCCTCTCCATTGTCCATTTTCTTTTCCTTCTTATGGGGGGTTTGTGTTTGAGCTGGGCCATCATCCTAGCGGCTCGTTCGTTCTGGTTGTTCTTTTGTCCCGGAGTTTGACTTTATCATCATGTATTTCATAACCAGCAGTACAGTATCACCATCAAAAGTCTGTCGCGAAGGCACAGCATAGCAGTAGTTGGAGCAATATTGGCACAATAATCTAACTCACTACTTTTACTATATTATCACACCAGCTCAATTCTTCTCTTTCTCCGTGCTCCCCCCCCTCCCCGCCCTCTCCTTTCTCGAGCTGAGTTAAACCGCCAGTGAACCAACAACCGCAACCACCACTCCAGCATCCTCCGGCGAACCAATTCAAACCCCCAAACACCGCTTACTGTAAAACATCATACATATGATACCTTCTAGAACCCCACCCCGAGTACTCTGTACCAATTCACTGCATGCCCCTTTCCCCCCACTAGCCAAACACGTGTAAGCGCATCCGCCATAGTTAGCATCATCAAAATCTCACCATGCTGCGGAAGATGCAAACTGTCAGCTAAGGTCGGTTAACAGAGATCTATGGTCCCGTAGATGGGCTCACCGAAGGAGAGAAAAAAAAGAAAGAAAAAAAAAGTACCACAAAAAGCGGATGTCCGGGCGGTTAAATAAAATAAAAAAATTTAATTTCCTCCAATTTTTCCATTTGATCGGGAGTGCGGGGAGAGATTCTTTTTGGGGGGGGGGTTACGACTTCCCCTTGGAGAACTGTTCGGTTCCGGTAGGGTGGGTTGGCGGGGAGGGGGGGGGAGGACCAGGAACTCACCGCCAATAAGGAGAGGGGGGGAAACCGACGAGTGATCTTTCGTGAGGTGGGGAAATGGTTAATCTACCGTGGAATATCTATCTATCCGACCGCGGTTTGTCCGTTTAAGTTAGATCTTGGGTTTTTCACCCATGAGGGGGTGGTGGGAAATTAAATTAAGCTTTTACCATGCGTTGATAGACTTCTTCTACCTTGCGATTTTGGGGTTTCATCATGATATGATACGCCCCCCCCCCCGCCCAAGTGACGTTATTGTGCAGTACCGGTAGTTGGGGGTTTCCGCTGCGCTTCTATAATAGCCATTACTAGATGATGAGCAATTAATCAATCTATCAATCTATCAATCCACGTTAAATCGAGTTCCTCCCCCCCCCATAAACATAGTACTCGTACTGGTACTGCACCGGTATATCACTTTTTTTTCTTTTCTCTTTCAAGCCTCATTCTTCCACAAAGCATTCTATCGTGTGTCACTTTATTTACTGCGGTGGCACAACTTGTCGTTGGACTCGGGGCACTGTACTAGTACTGTACTGTACTCTACTCGGGCTTCCCATTCTGTGGCGATCTGCGTTCGTGCAGATGGATATGAACTGCGGGGAGTAGGAGCGCCCAGATGGTTACGGAATTTTATTCTTAAGAGGACCGGAGATATTCTGTGAATGTTGGAATGCAACTTGCTATGATGGCTACCGTCGGTAACTGCTATTGAATTTCCGGCGAGGGACCCCGGGAGGAAGAAGTTATGCAGTTCAGCTTGAAAGACTTGGGATTTGCCGTAAATTCCAGCGTGTTACGGACCTTGTTGACTTTGGAGACATGGTAGGCATTGAGGAGTGAGATGTCATACGAATACGGCATCATGTGTCGGCCTTTAGGATTGGAAGCCCTTGGCAGATGGGCGGCGGCGATGACATGCCCTTATGATGCCTCCCTATCTATCATATGTACCCACTGCAATGCCCATTACATCACCAGCACGGACCTCCTTCAGACCCCGGGCTAGCAATCCCAAGTTCTAAAGAGAGGGGAGAATAGCCTTTGTTCAACGGCTAGCTCCCGTATACCAAAAAGGGAAAAGAGAAGCATGAGACCCTGTCTGGTGCATTGCAGTATAAAGAAACACAGTTTGCCCCACAATTTCAAACTCTGGCGGGACCAGGATCCCCTGAAAAATTGTATCCACAGAGCAGCTACCTTGCTAACAATTGTGGGAGAGAAAAAAACGAAAATCAATCACGGGTCCAAGTCAATTTATAGCCAAAAAAAAGTCAAATATGAAAACAAACAGTAGAAGCCAGCAAACGCCATTTCTATAGCGGATAAAGACTAGAGTACTTTGACTTGGAAGAGAAGCACGTATTGAACATTCATCCGCAGGACGGGGTACCCTTATCATATACACACCAAAGTCGCCCCCCCTCCGCGCAATCAAAGTTACAGGACGGCATAGTACTGTGCGGCATATTTCCCCACCTTAGCTATCAAATCCTAAAAACTCAATTGCATTCCACTACCTCATCATGAATTTCTGTGAGATTAACCAACATGGCATGAGGGGGACCTTAGCCAGGGTCCAAAAATTACCCCATCCCTGAAATTACACCTATCGATACTCCCCCCCAGATGAACACCTGTCAATTGGCATCTTAATAGTGGAATTATAGATTTTCAGTCACCATGGCCTCACAGCAGCAATCTACAACTCCCTCCAGCATTATGAGTTATGCGGCGCTTCAAATCTAGGTTGACAAACCCCTTTTGAGCTCTACGAGAGAATTAAGCCTAACGAGTAACAAATAAGTTAGTCTATAATGCCTATATAGCTTCCCCCCACTGACCCAGCCTACCGTTTGTTTTATACATGCCGGAGTCCCAGCCCCTAGTATCAATAATCGCCACAACATGATTTCAACATGGGCGTTCGTACAGCGCTAGCCTACATCACTCACCGGATTCACCACACACCTATCCAACACACACGAGCCCACCCCCAGAGACGGATAGGGACACCATACGGTATAAATAAACATACGGCTGAAACAAGGGTTAATCCCTCAGCGATGTGTTGCTTCTTCCTGCTCTTGACATCAGACTACAGTAGAATACCCGAAGTATGATACCTACAGTGGTTATCTAACGCTCTCTAGGTTCCTACCCGCCCGAATTCCCGAATTCCATTATGTAACCCGTGCGGAGCAGACAGCGTCACCTCGGACAGGGATCTTCTAGAACAACCCCGTTACGGTCCCGGCAAACTACTCCCCAGTCAGCTAGTCAGCCAGCCCCATTTGTTGCCTTTTTTTTTTTACTATTACGTTTATCGGCTTGGAAGTATTCAGGTAGCACCCGAGGTGAATTCGCCCCCCAGCCAAGTCTTCGCTTCGCGCGGGATATAAGCACCCGATGGTGTTGCAGTGCGGAGATATATGTTGGCGAGAAATTCTGATAGCGCTTCGTTGGAGGTGGTAGTGAAAAGTGGTCCGAGGTCTTCGGGAGGTAATAATGTCGGGTGGGATGGGGTTTGGATTGTGGGCTTTGGGATTAGCCGGGGATGGAATCGCGGGGATGTCTCGGAAAAACGGTGCTACTTAACTTGTGATACGAGTACTACCGCTTGTTTAAAGTTTTGGTACTGTATTCGCCCCCCCCCCCCAACCACTACCACCACTACCACCACTACCACCACTTATGCCTGGGTATGATAGACGTTGTGCTCAGCAATGTCACCAGACGTCACTCGTTTCTAAAACATGACTTATTGCTGAAGTCGGAATTCGGGCAGTAGTGCTCTTTCGTAAGCCCCGGGTTCACCGAATGACTACATTCGGAAATTGGCCCCTACAAGCCCACCCCGGCAGTGTTTGGACATCTCGGTGCTCAGAGGTCTTCATTATGATGCTCTCAATTATGGATAACGGCTCCGCTCCCTTTCTCTTTAGTTATCAATTGAGTTGTTTCAATACTGTCCCTTCAGTCTCACAGCCACACAACACCCTAACTTGCCAGAGTTACAGCTTAAGATACGCTTAGCTTCGTTCCCTCCCCTCCTTTGGTCCAGAATGCCTTCGGGCTATTTCGGAAACTCAGTGAGGTACACTTCAACTCTAGCTGGGAAAAACCAAAGCATCCCTTTTCACTCCAGAACATAAAACAAGGTGTTGAAATGGTGTCATACTCCATTAACCCCCTCTGCGCATGCAGTATTCCATTTGCAGGATAGAGCAGGTACATTGTACATTTCCGGACAGATAAATATTTGTCCGTATTCCCGGGAGGTTTCTTTTGGCGTTAGATCCTTTGAAGAAGCCCGGAATACATTCTTTAGCACCACCACCACCCCCTCCCCCTAGCTCCAGTGAACCGACAGACACATTTTGTCACAATTCCTGGCACCCCCCACCTACGTCCCGAATCTCAAGTGCAGAAACATTGTTTCAGGTTCCGGAAGATTATACAAGGCTAGGTGAGTTGTCAAGTTACGCGGGAATCACCGCGTACCCGCGAGGCAGACGCTTTAGCACTGAACACGTCTACAGGCTCTCAGATCCGGAATCCTCCACGAGACCCTACCGGTCCCCATTCCGTTGGCTCCTAGTATAGCAAGCACCAGGAAAGCTTTTCACGCCATATCATTCCCACGCTTCAGACACCTCAAGTCACCAGAAGATAAAAGAGCTCTGCCGGTGCATGGGCCAATTGGTGAGTCCATAGCAAGACCTGCGGTAGCATTATTGCCCAATGAGGAGTGGTCGAGCTTGTAGTGTCCTTTTATTTACAAATAGCACACCGAAATTACCACCGCGTCAGACATTCACTCCTTCTACATAACATAAGCTACATGAACATCACCAATACCCTCCTCCAGTGTGAATTTCCTTTTCTCATCATTGATAAGAAAAGATTTGCTAGATAGTGCCATCCCATCCAAGTTAGTCTACAGTGAACACAGTACTAGGCAGGCGTACGCACCCTATCCGAGTCTATACACTCCGGAACCCAACACTCTGGTGGGAGCTCACCCAGCACAATACGGCGACTAGTCGGAACATGGCGAGGACGGAAAGGTCATAGATGTATTTAAACACCCCCGTTTGACAGAAGCACTGTAGTGCCCCCGCGACTCCAGAAATATAAAAAGGGAAGCGCTTGTCACTATTCGCACTCGGTGCACATGCGGGCTCTCCATATGCGCACCCAATCATTGACAAATCAACCCAACCGGGAAAACGAGTGATCACCTATTCCCAGAAATGAAACTTCGCACTTAGCTCGTGAATACCAACGACGGGAAGGTCAGGCCAGTGAGGGGGGGTGTGTGTTCAAGCTGATCACATTTTCCATCTTCACGCCAGCCGCCCCAGAGTTTCCGGACTGGTGCCTTGCCTGTGTCTG